TAGGAAACCTGCCACATTCACCAAGGACAGCCAAATTGTTAACATTGCAGTGTGCTCTTATTAACATCCTTAAATAAACATGCTCAATACTTTCTGGATATTTGCGAATTGCTGGTCACATAGTCTCCTTTAGTCCGAGTCGTTTAATAACAGTTTGTGTTGCTGAATAAAGCGCCCTCACCGCCTTAGTCGTTAGGCGAGATTTACCAGGCCAGCATCGTAGACTCAAAAAAAATTCATACGCCCAGATAGTTAATAATGTGTTGGCAGTATTTACTTGGTTTCTTCAAAAATACTATTATTCATATTTTTTTAGAATACTTTTATTTCTACAGACGGCTATTTTTTGTTTCAGCCAAATTTAATTCCGTGGCCCAATTATTAAAAAAATCTGTAGTCGGTTCAGATTTCGCTGTGATTTGATAGCTATGTTTGCCGCATCTTTGGAGGTATTAGTAACGAATGAATACTACGATTCAATCTAATCCAAGAAAAACAACAAATGAACTATTGAAAATAGTTGAGAAAACACTGAAATCACATTTAACCCTCAACATCGAGGGAAAATCGAGTGTGGTTAGTAAAGTGTTACAATGTACTTAGTAAACAGTGCGAGATACTAGTAACCCGTACGAGACACAAAGGTGCCAAGGTACAACTCAAATCCTAGAGCGAAAATGGCTTTGTGGTTCAAATATTACGGAGCCCTAGTGGTTTTTATGGGAATGCCAAAAATAGTTGGTTTGTAAATACGCTGCCCGATAGTAAAGCTAGTGCAATTTTCAAGAGGTTATTGCAGCTGTTTCTACCTAAAGTCAAGTATATTCCAATGAAAAAAAGGAACGTGACTCCTTGCTTATAAACTCAACATTTCTCTCCCGACTTGTATTGATGAATAGAAGAACAATACACCATGTCCAAACTGAGTATGAAAGCACAGTTGTTCAGCCCTTCAAAGTCATTTTCGAATGGTTTTCTTTGATTTTCTTCACCAGTTTCAAGGGTGAAGCGCCCTCTCTGGCCTGAATGGCAAAACTTCCATCCTTTTACGAAGCAGAACACTTTGCTCCTTCCATAACCCCCAGGAGGGGTACCCATGCTGAAGTATAGCTTTTCAATTGCCCCTTTTCAAGTACAGAAATATGAATTGATGAGAATCCTTTTTTCACACAATTTATATATTTTAAAATATTCAACCCTAAACACGGTATACGCGTCATAAATAACACCCCTTTTACTACGCGCGTTTTGTTTACTTCTACTTGCGTACCGTATTTTATTCAGAGAACCATGCGCGGTGATGTGAAATGAACATCTTGCAATCAAACATAGACTACATTAAAATGCATATTTCAAGGACACAGCTCTAATAGGACTGAATCATGTACAACGCAGTGAAGTTTACTCGTGATCTCTCAGCTAGTCCATAACTAAAACAGGGTAGAAAGGTGTCACTAAGCCTTCAAAAATGTGTGCATTTTTATACTAATGTTTTGACAAAAAACGTTCCCATATTTATACCAAAGTACAATTTTGTGAAACCCATGTTTTTACCAAATAAAGACAAGATAACAGTTTGTTGCGCCCCATTCTACTGTGTATATCTACACAGGCTTTATGAAGACGTTGCTGGGGGTAGGTAATGCGAACGATTTAACGATATTTAAACGGAATTCAGGCGGGGATTTAGGTCTTGCATATAGATCAATGTTTATTCCAAAAAAGTACAGTACAGACCAAATATTGCAGATATTTATACCCTTAATTTATACCTATTTGGACCCAATTAAATAGGACCCATATTTATAACTACAATATTGAATAAACCTAAACCTTTTAAATGGCACGTCCCCAATAGGAAATTTCTACATAGCGCCCCCCCCCCCCGATATCAAGAATGGTTTTCATTGTAACATAGGAATAAACCATGGAACTAAAAAAGAGCTCCATGAATAAACCTGCTGGTAGTAACATTTGACAGAGATACTTTGTTACAACTTTGATATGTTAATCAGTGGAAAGTCAAAATGTTGGACACTTTCATGAGGCATTCTGTGCCGACAAAATTATATCAATTTTTCACATTCAATTTCCTTGAGTACCGGGTAACCTGCATGCTATAGTGAAAAAGCCACAATTGTTAAGACATTCAACAATAACACAAGAAGTGAATTTCCAACTTTCCAACAACCAGTTACCTAAAACATAACAGAGTTCACAATCGGTCAGTAAAACATAACAGCAGTTTTATTTAGTTTATTTACATGATAGCAAAATTAGTCACCCACAATATAAGCAACAGCTACACCGATTGGTCAATTTAGAGTAACCAACATCATGATCAGCAACAGCTATACCAATTGGTCAAATAAGTTACACACAACACACCATGTAGAAAACAAGGTTTATTTTATTTCACATGAAAGACCAAAATGTTACATCATATGTTGAAAAGTTACAGAAAAAAAAAACTAAAAGAAAAGAGCGCAGGAGTATTGCTTATCTTTACAGAGATTTGGTAGATCTATCAAAGGTTACATGAATAACTTACAGAAGGTTAAAAATCATTATGCAAAATAAACTGTACTCTTAATATAACTTTAAAAAAAAAAAGAAATTGGTCAGAATTTCACATTGCATAATATATACACCTCAAATACGAATTGCAAAATTAAAAAAAAAAATGCCCCCCTCCCCATCGACACTTTAGCTCAATGGCCAATACAAGTCAAGATTATGTTTGTGTTAAGTGTTACACCAATTTTATTTAATCATGCCATGTTAGACAGTGGCAAGTCCAAATTGCAATGATTTGCATAATCAAATGTTAATGTTTAATGTTAATTTTAAATCAAACATAATTTACAAAGCAGTGTAATGAAAGTGTGTTACGGTATGTTACAAAGAAAAACAAGATTTTATTTTGGTTGATGACAATTTATTCTGAGGACAATATCGTTCCCGAAGGAAATGATAGTGTAAGTTGATGAATTAATTTGATTGTTTCAAATAAGCAAATGAGCTCATTTATATGCAAGGTTGTAGCATTTGCAATTTAATAAATTATGTATGCATATTGCATTGTAATATTACCCAGAGTGTATGAAAATTAGTGGGACAATTTGATAACTCCAGAATATATGCACCCATTATAATTTGCATATTATGTATATGTAGGTAATATTGATATGCATGAATTGTTTAAAAGTCAATACTGTATTTTGTTTTATTTAAAAAAAAAAACAGTTATTGAGTTTGATCCTTTTTTTAATGATTTTCAGAAATGGCAGTGACACGGCCTTGTGGAAAAGTTTAAATATGAAAAAAAAAATTAAGTACAAAATTATCAATGACTGTATATTTAACCAGATGGCTATTTTTTGGTTCAAATACCAGGAAATGGACATAATCAAAAACACATAGAATCACTTACAGTTTAACCTGTGTTAGTGACCACTTGCCCATAGTAACAATTTTTAGATAGGCTCAAAGAATGTACGAGTAACCTGTGTACACCCTTTTAAGCAAAACTTGGAAATCAAAATAATTGGTCAAACTTATTCAAAAGTGGTTGTTACTATCAACTCAAATGCATTTTTGTTTCAACAGTAACATCTCATTGATTTTCAATGACAAATATTGTGACAAAAATAAGAGTTGGAGATTCATAAAAAAAATAATCCGACCTGAATATACAGACCACGTATCTACGAGTTATTTTGGGTGATTGCTATATACAGATTAGTCCTTTGGGTGGTCGCTATACACAGGTTTGTCCTTTGGGTGGTCGCTATACACAGGTTTGACTGTATTTATATTATACACAGGGGGAGGGTAACACAACATACATATTGTAATAGGGAGGGGCGTTATATTGGCATAAAGACATTATAACTGAAATATATTCATAAAAATAAAGTATAATGAATGGGCTTTGGGTAAAGCAGCTCTCACCTGCACCTGCCGAGTGTTTCTACTTTAATTTGACAAGTAGGATTTCATTGAATGTATTTTTGTGTTGAGGTTTTTGAAAAAAAAACCCATAGCTTGGATATTTGGATTACCACGACTGAGCTCCGATTAAATAAATTTTACAAATTTAGGGGACATTCATCAGCAGATGCAGATTCTGCTCAAAACCATGGTGATGAACAGTTGGTATAAAATTCACGAAATTTGAAAAAATAAAATGTTGCGTCATCCGTGATAGTTAAAACAAGCGCTATGTTTACTATATCTAGTTATGACCAAAATACGGTATGTTTGTGGACATAGAGGGCGTGGTTTACAGACACTACTTCATACACAATGAAATGCATTGTCATTAAAAACAACCGACCACTGCTTTCAGTTCGTAGGCCAACAGTCAAGTAACATTACCATGGCAACCACCACTTCAAGAAACAAATGGAATTAACGACAAATAAATCATTGTGGACGACTAGACGATAGTTTCGCTGGGTAGTTTAAAGTTAGCGGAAGCAACGCTGATGTTTTTCTTTTTCTTTTTTGGAATGTGAAAAAATTCGGCTCCATGGAGGACCAGAGATATGGAAAAAAACCATAATGCAATGCAATGTGAGCACAAAAGATCAGGAAATATTGCAAGTGATAATTTAAGGAAGTCAATTTTATGAAAATTATCACCACTCCCTGTCTAAAGAATCCCGGTGATATTTGAACTGCAATTTTTCCAAAGTGTTACTGTCTACATTTTTCAAAACTGGATAAATATGCTAAACATAGCAAAACAAAATGCATAGCAAGGTTAAATAAATATATATAAGATCCTAAAAATGGATATATTCCATACCCGGAAAGAGTAAGATTTAAAATTGTTTACATACAATTTTTTTTGCATAAAGAAAACTGCGAAGCTAAAATGATTGAACCATTCTATGCACATTCTAAATTATTTACATGACTGTGAACACTTCCCTCAGTGGCATAAATTAGTTGATGTTCTAAATATATATATATATTTATATATGCGGTTTAGAATATTTTTAGCAGTTCAAATTGATATGATTGTTTGTTATTAAAAGTTGCATTTTATTGCATCCCACCACAAAGTTGTACAACAACAGTGACCGTAGTGGAGCAATCACAGTGGGGGAAACAATACTGTTAACTTGGCACTGAGAAATCAATAGAGACCAAGTTGTTACGACACTACACACTTTCCCTTCTTTTTCTTTTTCCCCTTTTTTTGCTGTCGGTTCATTCCCTGTGTCGGAAGTGAGGCCGTTGTGCCATACATGCTACTCCGGTCAACATACATCAGTTTAACTCCGGGGCGACGTGGCACACGGTTAAAGAAATCATCATCATCTGAAGACGAGGAACTACTCGTAGACAATCCCCTTTCCCGTGCATGTCGTCTGTGAAGGTATGTATCCACATCGCTTCCTTCTAACTGAAGTTCTGACCTTGCATTTCGACCTTCCATTGTCTCTCCGGGTGCCCCTCGAAAGTAGATTTCTGGTCGAGAAGTCCTGTTCCTTGGAAATGTTCCATGATGTCCAGAATCATCTGTCTTGTGTTTCCGAGGATATGGATTGCGTATTGGATCATAATCTGGTGGCCGCTCATTTTTCGATTTTGAGGAAGAGGATGACGAGGACGAGGATCCACCTATTGTGTTTGTTTTCGTTAAAAGCTCATTGGTAGACCTAGCTGCAGCGTATGAATGTCTCGCGTGCCGAGGATCAAATCGCTGAGCAAATGGATCTACTTTGTGGTCGAAATGAACATTCAAACTGCGCGTGGAGCCATTTCTCCGCCTACTAACAGACACTAAACTGCTTTTTCGTTTTTCGTTATTATTACTGTTACCATCTTTCCGTAAATCTGGCAGTGAGAACCTGGATAGGTGCTGGCGGCGTGCTTTTCTTTCTCGCTCAGGTTCAACTGGCGGTGGAGGTAAATTATCAAGATTAATGTCACAAAGCGAGATAGGAGTCCTACTGCGACTGTGAGAAGGTAGTTCGGTTATATTTGACGCATACGTTGCCATAGTCACTTCGTTATCTGGAATATTCTCCTTCTCTGCCGAACGCTGTTCCCCTCGGCTACAAGCGCCAGAACAGTATATGAGTCCGTGCTTGGGTAAAAATGGTTTTCCAAGTAAAGATACTCCACAAGTATTGCAACAGAAACATTTGTCTGTAGCGTGCCAATGCTGTCCTTCATGCGTCATCTGACCCTGATCAACTCCAATCGGATCCCCGCACCCATCGCAGTACTGAGCAAACATACTTTCAAAACAGCGACAACAATACGGCCGTCCTTCTCGCATGATGTATCGGTTTCCTCCCAATTGTTCATCGCATTCAAAACAGCAGAAATGTTTCATATGCCAGCTTCTCCCCTCAGCCTCGGTGCATTCGTCAGCAAATATGATCTAAAGTGAACAAAAGATTCAGTTTTAAGTAAATAAATATATAGTTTCTGGAGCAATACATAAACACGAACAGTAGGGGAATTGTAATTGGCAATACAAAATAACAATGACAAAAGAAATGTACGAAAGTTCTGGCACAAATCTAACAGGAAGCGTTATGACCATTTCGACATAAATGAATGGCATAAAAGCTTCAGAAGATAAATTTGGAAAAAAATTCCTCAAGTGGGCATTTCTATTGAGAAAAATTTAGCACTATCAACTTACTTCATCACAGGCTGCACATCGTGGTTTCAGCGTCTCCGCATGATGACGACCGCAGTGCACCTTGCCGTCCTTCCAGAAGTAAATAAGATCCACCAGGAGCTCATCGCAGGCGCAACAAACGAAGCAGGCCGGGTGCCAGCAGACGTTATGACCAGCTCTTGAAGCAAACACGGCAACACTACCACCATCCATATATGATCCACACTGGAGGGAAAAAGAAAATAACATAAACAATAAAGAAACAAACATACACATGTGGATTCATTGAGTGATTATTCCAGCTGGTCGGATTGCACTGCTGAGACCACACTACGTACCACACACGAGAAATTGGAAAACTTGCTCAAAGGGTGTTTGATAGTTGTATCAATATTCTATGTCAGGTCACTGTGATTATTAAAAGGAGGTAGTCGTCGTGCCACACCCTGTTCGATATGGGAATCATAGCGACGTACACACGTGTGAGATACATGAAATTTGAACACGTTCTGCGTGACGACTCCTGCCCTCTAAACTAACAAGGATGAACGAATATTGAATGAGATAATGATTATTATAATAATTTTTCGCAACAATAAATAAATATTTCACATGATTTGTACAATATAAACCATCTTGAGCAATCTATAGCAGACATACAACAGTGCTCAATGAACAACTCAGAAAACAAGCACAAATAAACTACTTCTTCTGTGCATCGTTTTCCCGCAGTATGTTTTTTTTTTTGGGTCTATATTGATCGTCTTACTCAAAAGTAGCCATTATTTGCGGCAATGTTTAATGAATATTCTCAATACTATGGTAACCACATGTTTTGTGTGTAACCAGGCAACCATAGATGACAATTTTTTTTTTTTTCGGCAAGATCTCACTCTTTTAGCATGGTGCACCCTACTATATGTGTAGTTGCTATGTAAAATTGTTGCTATAGAGGGAAAACATACAAGATCTGTCATAGCGAACAAAGAATGTCATATTTTTGATACATACATACTCAATGTAAATTTTTGTCAACACTAACACAAGCGCTTTTGCTTTTAACATCATACTTCAAGCTTTCATCTTGAGACCCTTCTGACACAACTGAAGGTACAATATTGACACAACAGAAAACATGACATCAGATACTTTTATCGCAGTTACCACTCTCTTCTATGTCAGCATAAACACAGTGTGAAACATACTTCACGATGGTGATGAAATATCGCCACTAATAGGAACAATGCATAAGCTGCCTCATTTGTACGTTCTCCGTACGCTGCCTCATTTGTACGTTCTCCGTACGCTGCCTCATTTGTACGTTCTCCGTACGCTGCCGCATTTGTACGTTCTCCGTACGCTGCCTCATTCGTACGTCTCCATGTATTGGTAAGTATGCAAATTCCAGTTTGTGACTGGAATTGATGTTGGGAGCTATTATAAATTGTTGTACCCAATTGTTATCAATTATTGCAACACAAACTGATTTAATACTAAGTTCTAGTGTTTGATACATGGTCCATGTGTGGCTGTCGTCACGATACATTAATACGAATAAATAATGAGAATGCTGTTACGCATATTAAATGCTCCCGCAATGATCAGTCAAAAACCTACTTTCTATAGAATTCTGTCAAATGAAAATCTCGGCTGCCACTTGCATGAATTATTCACTCAAATGCTGTCACCATGTTCAAAAGGTTTGTAGCCATTTTGAACAAACATTGTGTCATTTTTTTGTTTTATTTTTTTTTTCACAATATAGTAAGTGTGCTTTTTTTTTTATCAAGATGAGTGTTTTTTTTTTGGGGGGGGGGGGGTGAGTTCCCAATTGTTTTGCTTTTTGCAGCTGTTTCCAATTTTTAGCTTTTCTATTATTCCCATCTTTGAAATTACACCGGATAATATATTATTTTTTATTAGAAATGCATCCCTAATAGAAAATAAACCAACAACTGCATTTGCTGTATACTAAATCATCAAAATATTACTTAATTTTGACCACAGAAAAATCTCTATAATTTAAGTAAGAGGAAGCGCTACTAACAGAGCAAATACAATACTGCTACAATAGTTTTCACTACTTCTGTAATTGTATGCTTTGTCGTCAATGAGATGACTAAGCTTCCTATTTTCTGTTCACCATAGCATGACTTTCTTAGCTCAACACGCAAGACCAAATCCTGTCAAATCTACCATGTTATCCATGTTGTAGTTTGATTATTTTGAGGTATGACTCATAATAAAACAGTGCCCCAATCCAAATTTTTCAATCAGGCGTGAACACCGAATGAGTTCATCTTGACGGAGAAAATGAAATGGTAACAATACTTCTGGTGGTACAAGAGTTGTAGAAGTCATGGAACCAAAATTTTTTTTTTTTTCAATTTTAGATAAATCAATACTAGCTTTTAACCTATCTATGGTAATATACAGTCATGGTTTACTGTAATTGCCCTATTGAAAGTGCACTAACATAAATGGCCTGCTAAAAAGGTTAATATAGCTTGTTGACCATGAGCTTGGCGTACTTTGACGTCTACTGGGGATGCCGTTCTAATAGATCAAATATGGTAGAGGTCAGTATACATAATTATCCAACAATTTTGCATTTTTTTCCAGTTTCAGGAATATACAAAAATGTCATCTGGTTGAACCCAATAAAAGAACCATGTTCTTGTTTTTTACACCGCTGCTTAGCAAAGACAATGTTTTCTGTAACGTTAGAATATTCACAGTTTTAACTGGATTATTACTTACATGATAACACACAGAACCTGATACAGTTATTGGGATACTTCGTACAGTTCCTCTCCCTAGTGCTTCTCGTTTCCTTTGTTGGCTGAACTGTCGTAGCTCACGCTTCTCTTCATCGCTCAACCCATTGCAATAGCGTACCTCGTTGTCATGGGGAGGCAGCTGTTGTAACAGCAACTTTATTCGGTATTTCTCCCCTTCGCTGTTCACATACGGTATTTTATCTTCAGGTAGTGATGTAAAGTAATGATGTACCTGAAATTAAAATGGGATTACATTTCAAAAATTACAGTGTTTTCATCTAGGTAAGTTTGTAAAGGAAGACAGCAAAGTTGAGAGATTCAATTCTAAAGCACAATTGCATGACATACAAGACATGAATGGTATGACCCTGTCATCCGAGGTTAATAAGAAACGACTTTATTCGCCTAGATCTCACGACACCCTCTTAGTAATGATCTATTTATGGCCTGACATTCGCCTCTTTGCTTTCTGGGTGTAACCATAAGGGAAAAAAACATCCATTCTAGTTTTTGTCATTAAAAGTTCTTCTTTATTTACTCTGCATGACTGTGACCAAATTTTCATAAATCTGTCAATGATGGTTTTCCTGGAAAACAACTTTACGGATGCGATGTTGTCAATCACAGAGCTGCGGTCGCTTCTTAGAGTTGAATTGATACATAATTGAGGCAAAGTGGGAACTGTCACTGTTATAGCTTGCAGTTCAATTGAATTCCAACTTCCATGCCAAGCTAGATAGAATTGAGATACGCACGTTTTCATCTCTTAGATGTGTGATATTTATTTTTATGACGAGTGCTGTAAAAAGCACTTTATTAATGCAAGACTTATCTTTTAATATACAACACCCTTCAGAATGAACAATCAGTAGATGCGCGAGCTACTGTCATATCAAATTATGATAATTCAGATTATTTTGAGTCCATAAAGATACCACACACCAACCGCCAGAATTAATAGCCATCACTAAACATAGCGCGTTAAAAATTCAACATTGCAAACATATCACCCTATCATTTTCATGACAGTGACCAATTTGCATAATAAAAAGAAGCAGCATTTACAAAATCAACATCACTCGAGAATTAATCAATCAAGCACTTTATCACTAGTTACAAATAACATACCTGTTCGGGTTTTAGTCCCGGAGGTACCCATGTGTACTCCTCCAGAGCACATCCACTGTCATCATCTGACGTAGAATTCCTTGGGAATTCACCGTACATCATTTTATTCACGGTTTTCTCCTGTTTAGTTCCCAGAATGCAATGGTCTTCCCTCGGACACTTGCAATGGCGGCATATTTTCCTGTAAAAAAATGAAAAGACAGATTTAAATTCATGCACGTCATAGATGTTTGGGTTTACAATCAGAGCATCAAGTAAGACTGTCCCTTATTGGTTGTTCAACCCTTACATCCTACATCTGTAACCATATTGACCAATCAGATAAACTATATTACTATTCTACTATTATATTACTAGTACTATTAAAATTATTAGTCTTCTGAATACAATTCAATTCTATGAAGAATATATCTCCCCAAATATAGCTACATATTATTGTAAACAGAGAAGAAAACTAAGAGAAACTTGATTTGCTTCTTTGAAACAATTACGAAGACGAAATTTTGCTAAAGTCGCTGAAAAAATGGTAAATTTTCAACCCTACAAAATTGCCAGACTTGCGTGTTTCTAGGAAAATGTGGTTTTCCTATTTGACAATGGTCTGCTAACAGTAAACTCAATTTAAAACTGACAGACAATAAGCCGTCTGTTAATGAGTCTTGATTGAAGTTTCCTGAAAAACAGCCAGATATTATATTTTGTAGAAAGTAATAAAAGTTAACGATAGAGCTGAAAGGGTTGATCACAATGTCATTTGACAGAAAAGCAAGAATGACTAAAACCATGGTTACGCCCATACAACCCTTTCACAGCTACCTAACTTAAAAGAATTACGTGATCTGCAAGATTTACCGCATTTCACGGCCGCCAATAGTAATTTTTTTTGTCACTTTAGTAAAAATACCGCTACAAGACATACATTCGGAAAGTATGAATATTCATGAGCACTGGTGAACATCATGACAAAAATAGGAATGAACCAATAAACATGTACATGTGACAACGTGGAACCGAAGAGATAACTTTTTATCTTCCCACATCATTCCAAATCCTAGTCCTCCGTGAGCTTTTGTAGCTTGAAATTTTTGACCGCTGAAAATATCAGTGGTTAATTTACATAACAATAGAACATGTTTATCACCTCAATGTTATGCAAAGTGGCTTATTCAAACCTCGTTAAACAGTACAAGCCATTTATTAATTGGTTCGCTACAAAAGTAAAAGAGTTGGTGATTGGTGCATTTTCAGTCCTGCTGAAAGCACATTGAATTTATGGCAGCTTTCTTGTAGGAGCCATGCCATGGTCATGATTTACGACTATGAATCACCGTAGACAATTTGAACAAAATAAATCATTTGATAAATTTTATTTGGTTTAAATGTCAGTCTTTGTTACATTTTCTTTGTATATCACTATAAAGTCTTTAAATTTTAAGAGGTGGAATTCATTTTCACTCGATACTACAAATTGGAGCAGATACATAAAATAAGTGCCGATATTTTTTACATAAAGTCTAAGAAATGATAAATTTGATATTATTTATTCTTTCATCAGCTGCTGCCATCTACAGTATGGAGTAGACAGTAAATGTTATCAAACTAAAACAGACAGATAGAACGGTCGTTAAGTTACATTCATTTGCATAATCTACTTTCAATCAAATGATGTCCATTGCTGCATCTGAACAGATTGGGGTGAACCACTTTCCTGTGACCCCCCATACCCCAAACTTGCACATCATACATACCATTAACAGATACATAATTCTCAATTGAGTCAACGAGGTGTTATCTGAGTGTCGCCGAAATGAAAACTACACACGTTCAACGAAGGGGCAATAATTGCAAAAAAATACTACAGCACCAATGTAGTGTAAAGCATCAGTGATTGGATTCGCTTTCAATGAAATAACGCCTCTCGGGAGAATGCCCAAGAAGGCTGTAGTGTCCACCACGTACATACGCGGCTTTGTCTGATATGGAAACGACAGTGTTGTTTGAGAAAACACTGGATTTATACAGGAGACTGGCTTTCCTTTTCATCCTGGGGTTCGTTGATTTTATGTTATGTACACAGCCAGAACGCACACTGTGTTCTATCTCAGTACAAAGTACCGACTAATATTGACACACACGTCCGCAATGGTGTCTACATAAATTGTATTATATTATGCTTATTACCTGGTGAGTACTTTTTTTGATACAAAATGTATAACTGATTAAAAATGGCTAAAGTTAGGAAGTTTGCATTTACAGTTTACTGTGAAATACTTTATTTTAGCTGGAATTAATTTTTGCTGAAAATACTTTTTGGGTGTTTTGTATGGAGTTTAATTTCACTGATTTTTGATGAATTGAATGTAAAACGTAGAAAAAAAGGCATATTCGCTGGATTTTATTTTCACTGAATCAATCATCCCTTCAGTGAAAATAAATTACAAGCGAAAATTAAGTATTTCACAGTAATATACAAACAACACAGAATAAGAGGGTTTTTTTGTGAGAAAGTTTTGCTAGCTAACCCTGCATCTATTTTTTTTTTTTCACGTCTCAGACCACACAACATACAATGATGTTTATCTATCTCACACAACTACCAGAGGAAGTTCTTATGATACACTAAGCACACAAAAAAGAACAGATGAGAAAGAATAGTGGTGTTCTCTTTTAATAGGACTGATTAACGGCCATTATTTCAGGTCATTATGGATGAGGTTACCATGCCGACAGCAACAGCAGATGTGCATGATGGACAGTGGGTGAAGTACTGCGAGCAGCTTTCAAATTCAGGGCAATCTACTTAAAATAATTGACAATAAATGAAGAGGTATGCAAACCCATCAGTGAAGAATGCACTGTTTATTGGAATTGTCACATGTCAATAATCATAACAGTGAACTTCAAATAGACCAGAGTTTGTACATGAAATGGCATGTCCTACATACGACTCACTCACTCGATTCATCATCAGATTTATACTCCAGCATATGTTTACAGTTTCCTTATAAAGTTTGTGGTCCTGAATACGGATAAGCAGGTACCAAATCTAATGGTAAAATGATGAATTCCACTGCAGACGCATATCTGTAATGCTAGTGACCTATCACATGCCATGAAAACTAAAAACAGACTGGAGATATAACAGTGATAACTGTCATGCAATACAAAGTGCTCTTTCCAGCATGTCATTAGGGACTAGTGTCTATACAGTGCACATTACAGAACTATGAACATTCACTACATACACGTATGCACATACACACAGTAAATCACAGGGAATAGCACGATTCATTAAACTGTACAATGGTATACATTATTTAAAAATGATTTCACATGCCAGAAAAATAACTGATCAATATTGACAATGAAAGATGTATACCATACAAACCTTCAAGTCATGCTAGATACAGAATAGATATACATTGCAATGCAGTAATAATTCATAACGGGTAGCTCTCAGGCTTTCAATTATTGTTTTAGCAGTGTGATGACCCGCAAGTCACTCAATGCAGTAGACTGTGAGCTAACAACCTTGTCTGCTGGTACTAAATAACCAGCGTGTATTACTCTGATATGTGATCATTCAACCGTTCACAAACTGATAAAACCAAAGAAAGTCCTTGAACGTATTTGTACCAATCAATCTTGTACGTACATATCTTCTTCTTTTTTATTACCCTTTAATCGCGAATTTTATAAATTATTGCTTTCAGGGGAAGAGTTGGAAATCCTCGCTGTAATTACAGAATAACAACTCGATTCATTTTGTCGATCAACAATTCACAATTCCTAAGACGGGGATTTACTCGCACAACCAGCACAGCTGAATCTCAAACTACTAAATTATAGCGCGCAATAACGTTAAAGGTCAATGTTGAGATACGTCAGTCGTTTACTATTTTTAATATCAGTCTATTTTCCCAACTTTCGCTTTTTTTCACTTCTCGGTCATGTACGTGGGAAAAATTTGTATCTAGTCACTCAGCTATGACAAGCATTTTTTAGTATCGTCTTTTCACATGAATAGCTACTCTAGTGAATCAATTGTAATATCATGCATCCCAGTCACAGTAATGAAATTCATACTGATTAGAAGGTCAAAAAGGATTTCTCTGACATCATCTTACATGAGAAATCACGGGTTAACATAAAATGTACTGATATGGCAAGCTGATAGGAATAGAGATGAATTTGTGCAAACATTAGATCATTATCAAGGCCCTCTGATCGTTTGTTTCGATTTGGCGTAAAACAGGACACCATTACGATACTCCAGAGAAGTCAAAGCATGCTGTAGATGATTAGATGATTCTAAACTTCAGCAACAGTGCTAGAAATAAACATTACACATAGAATGTACATTACCAGTATATGTAAACAATTACGGATAAAAATTTATTGCCGGTTCCTTTTAACATAACGATCACAACAAATACTAAATAATCAAGCTATCAGCTGCCTGTATTTACGTTAACTACAACAAAATGTACTATTTCTAAATTCATAAACTTTGACAGTTAAGTAAACAGCGTATCAGGAATCGCTATGTCCGATATGACGGAAAAATACCATGCTCACTAGGACAAATTCAAGTGTGTAAACAAATCTGTTGCCTGCGAGACCCACTGACCTAAGAAACAATTTCATCATGACATCGGTGTGTGGAAAATCCTACTTGGAAAGAATTAATTTTTCGAATCAGCTGGGATTTCATAAATTGATACAGCCGAGAAAGAATCAAAATTGGATTTTGAACACTTTTGTTAGTACTGTGTAGAAAACACAGCCTCCAATTGTGACCTTGTAAAAGCAAGCACTTAGCCTTCGAATCAATCATGCTGTCGCTTGACAGCCGGGGCTGTGTATGTAAGGTAGGCATACAACATCACCTGGCTCCAGGTAAGAACACAAATAGATTGAAAGACACGCTCTCTGATCAACCAGTGGTTTCAAAACAGTCTGAAGGGCATAGCAATCTACTAATTAGTCGTGACTGGGTGGCTGTAGTGGTTGGATTTTTTTCCAATTGAATCAAAGTCAATGTTGAAGAGGGTAGTTCACAATACACAGGGTGTCATAACAACCCAAGAACAAATGCCGGATTGCGATAGGAAAGAAAAGCGCTAATTCCTTATTTCGCATAAATTTAATTATGTTGAAATGGTGTTTTATTTTGAAGTC